ACATTTTTTTTTATTTCTTAAAATTTTATTTAAAAAGAAGAAATAAATTTTGAAAATTTCTTTTTTCCTTTTTTTTTTAAATTTCAAAAATTTCAAAAATGTCTAACGAAAACTCCAAAGACCAAAATGAAACACTAAAATCTGTTTTAAAAGAAATTATTAAAATATATCATAAAATTCTTAAATATAATTATAAAACACACAGAAATATATTAAATACTTTTGTAAAAATATCACTACCATCATCATCATCATTGAAATCTCTAATATCATCACAGTTACATTCTTTACAATCATTTCATACATGGTCTTTACAATTAATCACGGTCTTTAGTATTAATTAAACCTTCATCTTCCCTTCTTTTCATCATCATTACCATTACTATCATTTTCATCAATATTAACAGTAACAAATGTAATACTATTATTATTACCATTACCACCATTATCATCACCACTATCATCACCACCAACAATGCCAATGCCCTTCCAAAAAAAAGCCAATGTTAGTGTCAAATGCTAATGCCAATGCTAATGTCAGTGTCAATATTAGCGCCAATACTAATGCCAATGCTAGATAAAAAAAGCTAATATCAAAAAAACCGATAGATGTTATCAGCAAAGTCAAAGCTTATGCCACTACTATCAAAATTAATGCTAATGCCAATGCCACCTTAAAAAAAGCTAATACTACCAATGCCATTGCCAATGCCAGCATTAGAGTCTGAGTTAAACACCAAATACTAAAGCCAAAAAAAGCCAATGTTATTGCTACCGCTAATACTAACTACAAAGTCAAAAAAGCTGATATTATCACTAAAGCTAAAGCCAAAGCTAATCCAAACGTATCATATCTTGCTTATTTACCTTTCAAATGAGTCTATATATAATCCAACCTTTGTTATGACTCTGCTCTATGTTCTAACCCTAACGCATATCATAATTCATTTCAACTATCCTCTTTATTAACCCATACTGTTTCTTGTCTTCCATGAAATGAGTTTACGTATACCTTAGCTCTACTATGATTCAGCTCTGCCTTAACTAATAACACTCTAACTGCCTCTCTTGCAAATAACATAAATCCAATAATAGTATTCAAACTCTTCTCCCTGTTGCTCTTCTATCCTTCCAATAAACGTGTGTCATTTACCTTGCTTGCTAACTGTTTGAAGATATTCTTTATAACAATCAGTGGTTATTGCAGGATTTTCGTGATGGTACTTAACAAAGAAGTCTTTATACTTGTTATATTCATCTTTGAACTCCTTCTCAATCGCTGTTAAGAAGTCTTGATCATATTTCACGCAAAAGTGACTGAATCCCAGTGAGTAATTCATGTTCATGTCTAGTTGTTGTATGATGGTAAATGAAAATGGTAAAAGAAGAGTCACAATCTGTACCTGCCTAACTCAGCCCTGTTTATACATTTTACTTACACAAACATGTAATACTCCTTCATATTGAAGCGTTAAATCAACTACAGATGTCAGGTCTAGCACATTTAGCAAAATAGATCAGGAACTCTTCATGCTTTTGTCAAAGACAAAGAGTAAATGAAGACAAAGTGAAATCTCTTTTATATGCTTCTTTGCATATCACGTTATGGAATAATATTTCCAATTATATTATTATATTTACTACTACATAATGCAATTTTGCTTTCAGAAGTAAAGTAATTATTTTTTACGTGCGTATTGTAACAAGTCGTATGATAATAGATAACTGAATTTGAATTGCAAAAAATAGTTACAACAATCAATTCTCTTTATTACTTTTTTAAACAAAGTATATACAACTTTTGCATATTCACTAGAGCAATTGCATAGGAGAAAATACTCAGACTCAAAGCCATTGATGAGTATTCCTATACTTTAGTCGCACTAGTAAAATAGAGATGTTAAAGATAAACTGATTTTAAACTGATTGTATAATTGAACTGATTCAGTTTAGTTTCAAGATTAAGAATCACGATAAATATTAGTTTTTATCACGTGATCCAATATAATTAAACCATTAGTTTAACCGACAGTTTAATTAAATTTTTAGTCGCAGTTTCAATCATAGTTGATAACTTATTTAAAAAAATCTAAATAATAAAGTTTTTATCATTATTTATCTAAAAAGAATTCAAAAAAGCATTAGTTTTTGAAACCAACAAAATAGAATTTTAATAACAAAATTTTTGTTTTTACATGTTAATTGGTTCTATTATTTA